AGAATCAATATTTGACACGTGAATAAGTGAGAGAAAATTCTGAATGAAATGTGCAGCTGGTATACTATAGTATTTAAGAATGATATAACAGAACTATGTGAAGTCAAGCAAGCTTTCTGACATATACTACACATTATTGGCAACCACAAGAAGCCAAACCTATGCCAAAAAAATCTGACTGATTTAAAGTTTATTAGATGTTTTTAGTAAAAATGTGAGGTTCCTTTTCTTTGGGTTCTAACCTTTTAAGACACACTCTCTTCATGAATTCAAACTTCTCTGCACCTCTGAAAACTGCAGCCATTAAAAAAATTATACCTGAGATTCTCCCAAAATCTCTTAATAGCAGTAGCAGAGGTCTTAAAAAACACAGAGCATTCATAATAATACTGAAAACTGGCTACACTGCAGTTTGGGGGGAAAAAACTCTCTAAAAATGAAATTAAATAAGTGTTTTCCCCCACACTGCATAACCCTGCATGAACTTAGTTTTATAAAGTCAAATTTCAGTGGAATAATTTCACCAAATTTAGTGATAAGAGCTTTATGACTATTAAATGCATCACCCTGCCTCTTACAAAAGCCATAGAACAGGTCTTTGTTGCATGACCCTGCCATTTTAGCCTCTGTACAGTCATGTGCTTTCCTGGGCACAAGGACTTGTACCTGCTAGTAGTCGGGCTGTGCGAAGCTTCGGGTGCTGATTCCATTTGGAGGAAATTCGGCCCGATTCAGCAGCTGAACCTCTGAATCTGAATCGAATCAGGAGGTCAATAAAAAGGTCCAAATTGATTTGAAGCTCTTCGAATCAATTTGGAAAATATTCGGAGAGCTTTGGAGATTCAGGCAGGCCCTGCTTGCCACCGCAGGGACCTGGACCTGGACTTCGTGCTAGTAAGCAGGGGGCGGGAGGCAGGGCCTGGAAGCGAGGGGGAGGGGACCATGGGGGGACCCCTGCCAGGCCTCATCCCTTGCCTGCTCCTCCAGCCCCCACGAGTGCCCCCCGACCCAGCTCCCGGCTCTTTAAAAAAAACCAAAAAAACCCAAAAAAGCCTGCACTCATCAGCTGCTGCAGTGGCCTCGGGGCTTTTGGGGGCTCGTGGCAGAGCCCCACCATGCACCATGGGGAAGTGAGGGGGCAGCAGAGATTGCCTCCCTGCCTAGCGGGCTGGGGTCGGAGGGCTGGGGTCAGAGGGCTCATGGCAGAGCCCCCTATGCAGCATGGGGCAGTGGTGGGGCAGCAGGGATTGCCCCCCGACCCCCACCTGGCCGCAGCCAGTGAGTGGAATTTTTTTTGTTTTTGATTAAAGAGATGGGAGCTGGGACTGGGAGAGCAGGCGGGGGTTGGGGGCTCGTGCCATGGCCCCCCACACAGCGAGGGGCAGTGGGGGACAGCGGGGATCCCCCCCCCCCAACCTGGCAGCAGCCAGTGAGTGGGGGCTTCTTTTTTTTTCCAAAGAGCTGGGAGGGCCAGGCAGGGCAGCTATTGACAGTGCTGGGAGAGTAGGTGAGAGATGGGGCCTGTCCGATTTAGAGATTAGGCCGATTCAGCAGTGGCCAAATCTCTGAATCAGATTCACCTGAATCGATTTGGAACAGTGATTCAAATCACCAAATTAAATCACTGTCCCTTAAATCGGCCGAATCCAATGCGAATACTAGCCACTTCTCACAGGCCTAGCTAGCAGCCCCGCCCCACCCCCCGGAGCAAGATATTCTCAAAAGCAGGAAAGAGAAACCAAAATCACAGTTCTGCCTCTCCCACACCAGACAGCAACAAAGAGCTCAACAGAGGACAGTTCTAAGGGATTGCACAGCAGGTATATCATCTTTCCATGTTAGAGAAGACAGGAATACCCAATTAATGCTAATCCTAGCTCTGGTACAAATTCACCTCAGTGAATTTAGGCAAGTCACTGGACCATACTTTCATTATCTATAATATGCGAACAATAATTGCATACCTACCATACACTCCAAGACAGTAAAGGCTCATTAAGGTTTAGAAAGTCCAACTACTATATGTACCACTTACCACTTTGTCACTTTTTATCAAAGATATAATTCCTCCTATCATTATTTCAGCTCTGTACAAATTCCATCAAATATAACCTGAAGCTAAATCACTGTAAATATCAAAGGAACCAGATTTTGACAGAGTAAAAAAAAATTAAGTGTGAGAAGCAAAATATGTATATTTCTTTCAAACATATGATGACATTAAAAATTAGCTCACTAGTAATGTGATGGCTCAGTATTTTATTGTTAATTCCTTTGCTGTAGGCAAACTCACAGAGTTGACTGACCTAGGAAGAGCAAAGCATTCTAAGGGTCCTTCTGTTCTGTTCTCAAGCTATAGAAAGCAGGGGGGGGGCATTTTTTAATGATTTGCTACAAGAAAAAGTTTAATAAGCTAAAACATGTTTCTACATATAGAATATTGTAATAGTAGTTGATGTTCATCAGTTTTAAACAATATTATTTTTCTCAGTAAAGCAGGTCTAATATCCAGGGTTGTTTGGAAGTTATGACAAGGGAGTCTGTTCTGTGTTTGTAAAACAGAATGAGACTCTTTGAACTAGCAAAACACACAAATGTAGCCACACATGGGGTTAGCAATACCATGAACCCTGACAATGTGCAGAGGGAGTCTGGATTAGCAAAACATTCCCACAGTCAGAAAACCACACTGGTATGATTTATTAAAAGCTGAAACAGCCCTGAGATGGGAGGTAGTGTATTCCAGAGAATAATGCCACTGGAATAAAAGCCGAGAAATTTGGGCTCTAATTTGTGGATTTGGCACTGACCTATTATATGTCCTCAAAAAATTACTTTTTCACTCTGTGCCTTAATTTTGTCAACAAGGATAATGATATTTACCTTTGTAAAGCATGTTGAAACTGAGAAGTAAACATTTGTAAGACCAAAGGAAAACTATTAATAATAAATCAGAAAATCAGGACTTAAGCCTGGTTATCTCAATAACTTAAAGCATTGCACTGTCTAAAAATAAAACGGACTTTTCACCCATCCATGAAATGCAGCAGTTCTCAGGGGGAAGGTAGTTGGGCCTAAATCTTACTCTACCTTTAGCCATACAGGGGTGCATATACACTAGCCCTGTGCTAAGCGGCTAGTATTCACTTCAGATTCGGCTATTCGGGGGACAGTGATTCGATTCGGTGATTCAAATCACTGTCTCAAATTGAATTGGCAGAATCTGTTTCAGAGATTCAGCCACCACTGAATCTCTGAATCAGACAGGCCCCATCCCCCGCCCACTCTCCCCGCCCCATCAATGGCTGCCCCCCCAGCCCCAGCTCCCCGCTCTTTAAAAAAAAAGGGGAAAAAAAGCCACAAACTCACCGGCTCCTGCTAGGCAGGGGGAGTGATCTCCACTGCCCACCACTGCCCTGCTCTGGGTCGGTAACTCTGCCATGAGTCCCCAGAAGCCCCAACGGTTGCTGTAGCATCCGGTGAGTGTGGGGTTTTTTTTTTTCTTTTTCTTTTTTAAAGAACCAGGAGCTAGGGCCAGGTGGGGCAGACATGGGGGGCTGGGAGAGCAGGCGGGGGCCCATGGCAGAGTCCCCCAAGAAGCATGGGACAATGAGGGGCAGTGGGGATTGCCCCCCTGCCTGGCAGCACCCAGTGAATGGGGGTGCTTTTTTTTTTTTCTTTTCAAGAGCTAGGAACTGGGTCCAGGCAGGGCACCCATGGTGGGTGGGCTGGAAGAGTGGGCAGGGGTTCTCAGGGGGACTGGGGGAGCAGGCATGGGATGGGGCCTGTGGGATGGTCCCCTGCCCTCATCTCCAGCCCCTCCTCCCCCACCCTCTACTTACCAGCATGGAGTCCAGGTCAAGCTCCCTGCGGCAGTGAGTGGGGACTGCCTGTATCTCCAAAGCTCTCTGAATCTTTTCCAAATTGATTCAGAGAACTTCAAATTGATTCAGACATTTTTATTGGTCTCCTGATTCGATTTGGATTTAAAGATATGGCCACTGAATCGGGCCGAATCTCCTCCGAAGTTAGTACATGTTTACACACCTCTCAGTGCCCCTAGGCGCCCAAGACTCTTTCACTTTCTGCCCAAACTGTTTAGATTTTCAAAAGGCCTTTGATGAGGTCCCTCATAAGAAGCTACTAAAAGAATTTAGTAGTCACAAGCAGAAAGGCCTCCATCTCATTTAACAAAACAATCTCTGTTTGTTAACTCCTCCTCTTGGCTGCACAACCCTCTCTCACTTTGTGAGCCTCAAAAGGAGGACTAGAAATTGAATTGGATAATGCCTAATTTACAACCTGGTAGTTAAAGGATTGTGCTGCTGGGTAACTGGGTAAAGTGGTGTGATATTGGGATTCTGTCCTTTGTATTAACTGCTTCTCCTTTATCCACTATCTTACTTAAATAGTCAAAGGGCACACCTACACAAGAACCTATGGTGCAGTAGCAACAAGCTACTGCACAGTAGGTCATTACTACTACACAGTGGCATCCCCAGACAGTAACTGTGTGTCATGCCACTGCATTGTAGTAATGAACTACTGTGCAGTAGCTTCTTGCTACTGTGCAGTAGAATCGGGGAAAAAATGTGAGGCAATGGTACTGCACAGTAATGCCAGAAGGAAGTACTAAATGATGGCACAGTAACAAAGGTGCCGTAGGGACGCATGCAAATGTGCCCACTCACTACAAACATAAGCTCCTTTAGAGATCTCAACTATTCACCGTCTGGATCTAATGCCCACTGCTTTTTAAATTACCAAATTGTTTCATTGCCTCTTTTTCTAACACCTCAAATCTATGATAGTACTTTTTATAAATTATCAGAAAAAAGCAGGAGTAAGGACTGAGTGTAGACTCATTGCTACAACTAACTTCAACTTGCTCTTGTCACTTCGTAAAGCATTTGAACTACTTTAGTTTAACAGTACTGCCATCAAGGCAGTATACCAACCTTTTAATGTTTTTTAATAACAAGAATTATTATATATCTTACCTTGTGATCAGTATGGCTGCATCTACTGATGACAAGTCTTCTCCCCAGCTTGTTGACATTTCTAAATGTATATCGTTCTTCTTGCCAAACTCTTCATGTTGCCATTTACAGAAACTCTCCAGCATTTTTTCCCCATGATGACCAATATACATATCTGCCTGAAAATTGAAACGCATGCCATATTATCACACATCATGGTTTGTATGCATTTATAGTTCTCTGATCTTAATATGTCAGGGTATATTAAGAGTTTAAATAATCTTAAAGCTGAGAACAATTTTCACCCAAAGATCAAAATTTCCTTAAAATGCCTTGTCTAGCAATCCTAATGGTTTATGTGAAATTATAACAGATTTCATTATTCATTATACATTTTGAATTGACATTTACCTATACATTATTTTTCTCTAACTCTGTTTTCCACTCTAATATACCAATAATAACAAAAAACAAAAATTCTTCTGAAATGGTTTTCCCGATTTAAGCACACACTTTGACTGATTTGATAAAAAATGTTCTGTTTTACAATAATACTATATTTAAGGCAGAACTGTTTTAGCTTCAGGAATGCAGACTATCCTTATTTGACTTAAGGGTGAAAATTCAGCCTCAAAGGACTCTATCACCTAAGTTCTTTCATCCTGTATATGTCAATCTCCCACTGACATAAATGGGAGTTCACTGCACTTACAGAATGAAGAATATTTATGTCAAGACCCAGGTAGGAAAAATACAACCTCGTTCCTTTAAATGCATATACTAGAAATCTCTCTCATATGGATAAGACCATTCTATGTTTTATTGTTGTGAATTTTAACTATAATATGGAATGATGTCTTAGCCACTTTACAAAAATAACAATATGTCCACATAATATTGCTCTGAAATGCAATGTAAGAAGCAAAGGTCACTCCAAAGAACATCACCAACTATGCCAGCTGATTCATTTCTCTTCAACAAGATAACAGGATTTAAAAAATAAGCTTAACAATGATGTCTGAAAATATAGCAACACTATACTACTTAGGATATGGACATATATATGTATGGAGCTATTTCAACAAGAGGAACACTTCAGAAGGGCAGAAACTAATATGTTCTAATTGTTATGTGTGGACAAGCAGGGAATGACATAAGCGTAGCAAAAGTGCTCTAATTTTAAAACTGCTCCATCCAGGGACAAAGCCAGCCTTGGCTCTGCTTCATTCCCAACTTGTCCACATGTAACAACTGGAAAATTAAACAGATGTTGCCCTTTTGAAACAACTTCAAATGTATACCTGTTGTTACCATTAGTGCTTTGTTTATGGTACAACTGACACACACATGTGCACTAGGGCTGTGCGAAATTTCAACAGCCATTTCATTTCGACACTGTTTTGACTCATTTCGAGGCCAAAACAGCAAAATCAAAATGAAAGGCCGTTGAAATAGCCTCGAAACAAAACGAGGCTAGTCAAAACATTTTGAAAGTCAAAACATTTCAACCATAGTGCTGGGGATGGGAAGTCAGTCCAGCTGGGCTGACTTCCCATCCCCGGTGTCAGATCCGGCAGAAGGCAGGGAGGCAGCACAGCTGGGCTACAGCACCACCCCCCATGCTAGATCGCGCCAGGGGCAGGAACGCAGCCCAGCTGCGCTGCCTTGCCATCCCCTCCGCTAGATTGCACCAGTTGCTGAGGCACCAGTTCCTGAGCCAGGGGCCGGGGGTGGTTCCCTGCATACTTCGCAGTGGACCCCAAAGTGAATCGAAAGTACTTCTGATCCACTTCCAGGTCCACTGCGGAACATGCGAGAGACCCCACCATGCTCCTGTGGGATGCTCCATCCGCCCCACCATCTCAGTATTCACAAGCCGTGCCAAGTACCTCGAGGTACATAGAGAAAACATATAAAGCTGTGTCTATGGCTGAGTTGTCAAATCTCTCCGAATCACTTCAGAGCTTCTGATTCAATTCAGAGAGATTAATGGGTCTCCTGATTTGATTCAGATTCAGAGATTCAGCCGCCAAATCAGGCCAAATCTCCTCTGAATCAAATCAGCAACTGAAGCTTCACGCAGCCCTAATAAATACAAAAGAAAATAATTGACACAATTTGCCAGGGTGTACTAAGAGATTGGTTACTGCATGCCATGCTTTAGTGTGAAAGCAAACAACATAACCCTACTCTTTTATCCATTTTCAAATGTCCTTCTACATTGACTAAGAGAAATGAAGTTACTACTTACTGGAGTCTCGTGAAGCATAACAAGCTTAGTCACCCGAAGATTCACTTGCACTCCGAGGCTCTTGTGTTGAAAAAGATTAAAAACCTAAAATGAAAAACAAAAACAAAAAAAAAATGATTTCATTATATAGAATATAGCTTTAAAAAGTCAAATCTCAGAATATAAGGACACCTAATAATTCTGTAGTACTTTGATTTGAGTATCTGAATTTTGCTACATAGCAGTACAGCATAAAAGCTAATATATTACCTTTCTCTTTTTTGGACAGAGATGGGACAAACAAGGGGTTAATATAGTGTTTTAGTTCTAGTATCCAAAAAAGAGTTCATTTTACACTTGACAATGACTATAACCCCTATTCTATACATTATAACCCCTTACACACATACATTGTGTTACGCATGAGAAGTCCCATTGAGTTAAACAAAAGATCATGGTTAAATTGAGCTGTAGCTGGGAAGAGGCAGTAACATTTTATCACTTCTCAGGCTATAACAGTACTCTGCCACCAGCAACCAAGAGCATCATAGGATTCCTGTATATGAGAAGGACCACATGTCACTTTGGGCATGAGCATTCATTCTTAAAAGGTTTGGTTTCTAAGCAATCAGGCTGATCAAGTCCCATTTCTTGCCTTCACTGTCAAAGGTACATAGTATCAATTACAAGTATATCAGTAATTTTATGCTGAGAGCATTCTGAGGTTCCATTACATTTCATTGACTCCACTTACAAGTGCATCATTAAATCTAACAAGCAAATCAATCTATTGTGCAAAGGCTAAGGTAAGTTCTAAGAATTTCCTACCATGTTTAAGATGGTTAGAATAAATCGTCTGGCAGCATCTGTTCCATGATATAAAACCATTGCTGGATCTGCAACCACTACAGTTTCTATATTGTACTCTTGAGGTAATTTATAGGAATATCTTTTTCTTCTCCCATTTTCTGATACTTTTTGATTCTTGGATTTTCTCTTCTCTGTAACATAAAAAAAATGCTGCATGAATTCATCTTTTAATGCAGCAGCATTATATAACAGCATGTCATTGATACTACTGAATTTGCTGGAAAAACAATTTGTACTACAAATGCCACTAACAATTTATCTGTGAGCAGTAAGATAGGTACTACGGCTGTGCGAAGCTTCGGTCCCTGAGTCCATTTGGCAGAGATTCGGCCCGATTCGGCGGCCGAATCTCTAAATCCGAATCAAATCAGAGGGCCCTTTAATCTCTTCAAATCAACTCAGAACCCTCCAAATCAATTCAGAGAGATTCAGACAGATTTGGCGATTTGGACAGATTTGGCATTCGGACATAGACACAGCTTTAAATGTTTTTTCTACATGCTTCTAGGTAGCTGGGGCTTGTGATTGCTGCAGTGCTGGGCCAGATGGAGCATCCCACAAAAGCACGGGGGGCTCCGGCAGCAGACCTGGAAGTGGACCAGAAGCACTTACGGGTCCACCGGGTAGCGTGCGGGGGGGGCCCCCCACAGCCCCCTAGATGGGCGACTGGTGCCCCCTGGGTCTGGGCAGGGGGCACCCAGGATCCCCCTGCAGCCAATTTCCAGGCTGGGGGGCCATGGGTTCACTGCCGATTACACTGGACAGCCCTCCGCACTGCTGTAGGATGCTGCATTCACCCCAGCACCGCAGCGATCACGAGCCCTGCTGCTACCTCAAGGTTTGTAGAAAAATCTTTTAAAGCTGTGCCTGGGTCCGCATCACTGATTCACCAAATCAGCATCAAATTGTCAGATTCGGATTCAGCCAAATCAAATCAGGGACAGTGATCTGCATCAATGAACTGAATCGCTGTCCCTGATTCGGGCCAAATCTGAATCAAATAGGGCCCCCGTTTCACTTACCCCTAATAGCTACACTATGTGAAGGAATGTATTTAAGATATAATGTAATCATTATATACCCTAATAAGTACTTTCAAGGGATTATACTTGTGCTGCTGTGCTCAGATCAAGGCCATGGATTATATCACTATTCCAAACAACTATTCAAATAGGAATCCCATTCAGCAGAAGCACCAGAACCAGGCAGATACTTTGAACCTTCCTCTCTATTCCTAATCTACACAAAAAACTGCATTTTGTCCTTGAACTTGCTAATAAAGGAAGACCGAATATTGCTGTATGTTAGCACAAAAGCAGACTCACTAAATTAGGGAAGAAACCCTCCTACCATCAGAAAACACAGAATACCCTGAAGTCAACAAACCCTAGCATATAACAAGGAAACTTGGATTGATGCATATTCAAATTCCAAATGAACACATAAGATCATGCTATACATAAAAAGTAATTTATTAATAAAGATCTAGATCAGACTTTGCTTTTGAAGGAAGAGCTTAAATAATCATATACCAGAGGACTGAATCAAAAGAAACACTTTTTTATAGAAAAAGTATGAAAACATTTCAAAATGAAAGCTATACACACCAGTAGAATAATGCAAACAAAAGGCCGTAAATGCGTAGCATTGGGTGCTATATTTTCAACAAAATTTCTGCTGAAGATGACAATTATAAACACACGTTCTAGAAACATTCAGGCATTGGGAGACTGAAAGAATATGTTTTTCAATTAATCGCCTTCATCACAAAGAGGAAACTTCCTTTACTCCGTTTTAATATGAGTGTGCTTTCCAAATCTGAAGAACAATTTTTCAAGGAAGTGCTAAAACAATCTCAAGATTTAAAATGATATAACTCAGACAGGAGAAAGATAGCTCAGCAGGGGGAAATGATATTGTGCTAACAAAGTACTGCATGCTTTAAAAAAAAAAAAAAAAAAAATCAGGTGTGCACCTCATTCTTAAAAGACAGCAATTTATAAAAAATACCTTTTCTCTCTCTCATTTGTAGAAAGATAACTTACTAAAATAAAATAAAGGGAGTTTTCCATCTATTGACTCCTTTGTGAAATCCTATGAAATATGAAATTTCATTTCTACCCAGGAGAACTTTTACAATCTTTTCTCCCATGCCTGATAAAGTATATTTGTGCCCAAAAGTTTGTAATTAAAAATTCTTTTGCAAAAATCTTATTGGTCTAATAAAAATATCATCTCTACTACAAGTCCTGATTGTCTAAAATAAAACAAGATATATGAACTTACATACAACTTTGCACTTTTATTTTCCAGAATTAAAGCCATGTTGTTGCTTTTGCCAAGGCATGTCAATATGTGACAAATGCATAAAGCATACAAGCTATATTTGCTTCAAAACCAAACTGATTTTAAAAATATAAAATTAAAATTCTGGGAGATGTAATTCTAATGTCTCTGGGCATTGTCTTTCAAACACTTAACATACAAAGTTAACTTTATACACATGAATAGTCCCTAACTTGACACACATGACTGTTAACTGTAGAACCACAGGCTCCTTTATTTTGTCATTCTTTAGAGAATCAGTTTTTAATGAAACTTCAGTGTCAGGATGCTGGCCAAGAAACACACCCTACAAGCTGTACAACTATGACTTACCATACAAGCATTTAATGCTGAAAAAAGAAGGCTATGACTGTAAGTTTAAATAATAGATAAATTTGGGTTAGAAAAGACCTCTAGTGAGTCATCTAGTCCATTTCCCCACATCCTAGAAGGGCTGTTGGATTCCAGCAAAGTTTACAGCAACACAATTTATCCACTGTTTTATTCTTACTTAGAAATGGCAGCTATTAGCTAGAAAAATTAATGGGACGTTAGTATTTCTGCTTAAAAAAATATCTGCTGATCTTTCTATTCAGCTTTTAAGTAGCTGAATAATTTATGCTTCAAAATGAACAATTAGTGGTGTCAACAGAAAATAATAAGCTATATTTCTAGTACTGCTTCTCAATATTGTCATCATAGAGAAAGGCACTTATGCATTTTAGGACAATCCCGGTTTATGAAAAAGTATGTTGTCTTTAAGGATTGTACACCATAAGAATTTTTCTCAGCTCTGCAAAAGGACAACTTTTCAAGGGGCTTTGGACATCAGTCTCATTAGAGCCTTCTGACAAGCCAGTTCCAAGCCAGCTGGCCTTTTCAAAGTTTACTGGCAGGCTTCCCCATCCTTTAAAATCTCATTTATTTGAAGATTTCCATTTCTACAAGATCTTCAGATAACTAGGGTTATAATGTGTTGCCCTAACTGGCATTAAAAAGATTGGATTTCAATGATTATTGCCAAATAATCTGGTAATGTCTAAAAAGATGTGTACAGCTCTTTATATAGTTATAAGCAGGTAAATATGTAAAGAAATACAGGGATAAGATAAAGTACCTCTATGCAAAAGTATTTATTTATATTGTACATGAGCTGTTGATATAGAAATTAGATCATGCAAATAAATGGCTCATGAAGATTTACATTATACCTATACAAGTCCAATGCAATCAACTCCCTTTAGCTGGCAATGGAATAAAGAACACAGTGAAACCTACCAATGGGTACTCTACAACACAGCCTTTGAATCCTTTTCTATAGCTACAGAAAATGTAAAAAAACAATAAGTTGTTCAGAATCACTCCCTGTAAGTGACTGTAACCAAGCACTGCAACCCTCAGATTATTCAGCACTCCTTATGCCCGGACTTGTGCCAGTTTCTCACCAGCACCATTTGAGGAGGCATTGCAAGTTTGTGTTCTCAAGCTCTTACTCCATCCCACTTCTTTTCCCGTGAGGTCAAAAGTCTACATTCTCTCATAAGAGGAACTATATAACTAATTTGTTGGTCTCTTAAGCTGTGCTTCTGTGGTGTTTACATTCCAATTAATAGATTTTATCTTTATTTTCTAGCCTATGGGTGCATCTACATGTGCTATTAGTGCTCATGAGTAAACTCTGGAGTTCAGTGCTCCGTCTGCATGTAAGCCCAAGACCACAGCATATTGAGCTGGGTCAGGGCAGCCCTGGCTGGCAGGGGACCCTGCCAATGTGCTCCCCCCAGCTCAACATGCTGCAGAGTGGCCTGCTGGGGCATAAGGGTACTCCAACATGGGGCTAGCCAGCAGGCAGTCCCTACACTGAAGCACCCTTCTGCCCTAGCCAGCTAGAGCATTGTCTACACATTTGTTGCTACAGAGTGAAAAACTCCACAGCAGGATAGTACTTGTGTTTGCAAGTACTATCCTGCTGCAGAATTAATTAAACTATTCCAGCCTAATAGGGTGCACATGTAGATATGCAATGTTTACTGCCCACAGTTAATTAGTCCACTGCACAGTAAACATCTAAATGCTCTCTGTCAAATGAACTTTGTATGGAACTCGTTATCTTGACTTATTTGGGCGAGTATTATTAGGCACATAAACTATTAAGATACCTAATGAATATGAGCCCAATTTCTAAAAGGACTTAAGTGCCTAGAAGTAAGGTATTTCTGCACCTTTTACATCCCTGACCCTGCAGTAGAACCCAAACCTTGAGTTAGGTACCTCAGACCCCTACATAGTGCACAGAGTAACTTCAGAAAGGAAACCAAAACAGCCAGCATACTTAGCAGGAACTATTTAAGGTCTGCACACTCCGGTGTAGCTACTTAAAGCTAGCCAATGAAAACACTGAAAAGAAGACCATGTCTGAAATCTGGCACCCTACACAAAATGGTGCCTTAATACACTTAGGATCCACAGTCTAGAACCTTCCATGAAAGGAAGATGCCTACAACCATTCTTTCAAAAGTTGAGGAGTCATTCATGCCAGTATCAACACCCTGGTTTATGCAACAGCCTACTGGTTAAGCTAGAGCAGTCATGCAAGATGCGAGGGAACCAGACTCCTTGTCTGAAGGAATCAAACCCAAATCTCTCACTTTGCTATAAAGTGCTCCAACCTACGGTCTATGAACTGTTTTGGGATGAAGGTACTCTCCCTACCTCCTGTTAAACTGTGCCAATCTTTAAAAAAGTAACTTGATATTCTTTCGGACAAAAAGAGAAAGCAAAAAGGAACGGGTTCCTTTCTAGATGACTGGTCAAAGCATTTATCTAAGAGAGTTCCAAAAGTCCAGTCCTGGCTCCTCCACCTATTTATACATTTTAGCCCATGACTGCTTCATGTAGACTGCATCAAGAAGCCTTAGAGAAAGAGCTCATCCTCCCAGCTCAATACCATAACCACTTGGCTATATTCATTTTCCCTCATGAACATGCTGGTTAGAGCCGTCATTTGGAAAGTGGAAGACAAAGTCATAAACACTGTGTTCATTAAGTACATCAGAGACCAACCAGATGACACAGGGAGACAAGAAACAGACTATAAATGTTGGATCAAAGTGAAAGATGGCCCATAGCCTTCTTTAAAATCTAATGGTTTACTTGATGTGCAACATTCATACATAAATGAATGCACAGTTCCACTTACAGCCAGAAGTCCATCATGCCACTTAAAATCCCGTTATTGCTAGAAAAATAATCAGATAGGTCATTAAGAAAAAGTATTAGCTGGGGGGGAGTTAAATATGCCCAATACATTAAATCTGTTTAATGAGACCATCATATTACCTGCAACAACACCACAGTAATGAGTGTGAGAAACTGGATTTTCAGCAACTTTCTCCTCTATAGACCTTTTCCTTCTGTATACCCTGTGTGCATAACCTGTCACAGCCAAAGTGCGGTTGAGCGGCTCAATAAATATGAAGTCCTCGTTAATTTGTATGAACCCGATCTGGAAAGAAAAAGAAAGGGAATATGTAAGGGAATTACTTTTTAAAAAACTATAGAAGTGCGCGCACACCTCCCACAAAAGGAAAAAAAACAAAAGAAACTTAAACTTATTTTAAAATGTATTTTATTTTAGTAACCCTACTAGCCAGGTGACCATCTTTCTGTTTTATTACCCTCTGTACTGCAGTGCACTAGAATAAAATTCAGTTAATTCAATAAGATCTGTGTGGGTGGGTGGCTAGATGCCAGTAGCAGATGCATAATATGGATCTGGAATGTTAAAGGCTTGTTTTGGGGGACCCATGGGGTCATTAAATATGTACAGCATGTACAGCAAAATCTATATGCTAGCTTTATAATACACAATGTTGTCATACTTTTTGCTAAGCAGTTTTACTAAAACAGTACATGTTTTAAGATGAATTTTAAAAATGAGCTATTTAGCAACTGTGTATAGCTCCAACAAAACTGAAATGCTTGTGAAGCCCCAGTATTGATTTTTTAATTGCTAAAAATGTCTTTCCTTTGAAAATAAGCTGTGCAGGGTTAAGAGAGTCAAAGCTGATGTTTACATCAGGTGTAGGTCTGATTTATGAGAATATAGTTGAGCTCACAAAACTACTGAAAAACTTGCTCTTAGAACTAATATGTATGGTGATCCAACTCAGATCTCCTAAGACTGCCAACAAATACAAAGTCTATAGAGAAGAAATTTATTTTTTCTACAAAATACCATGAACAAAACTGTCAGCTGACTTCTAATTCCAGAAATTTGAAAAGCCATTAAATACTACTGCTTATAGAAAAACAAAATGACACATCTGGCTCAAATAAGTAGAGTTCTTCTCCATGCATTTAATTCCCATTTATACAGAAATAGAAAAAATCTGCCTCTGCTGAAATTAATGGGATGCTGTTCCTGATCAGGGTTCTTGTATGACATAACTTCACAAAACATTTATTGATAAATCTTCAGAAACAAACCTTGATCCAGCTGAGAACATGAAATTAAATTGCATGTGTGGTACAAATTATGCATTTCCTCAAACATATACATGTGCATTACAGCCCTTCTTACAGGCAACTTAAATATTGTATATAGTTAGTTTATTTCTCAGTCTGGTATGTTGGCTGCACCTCAACCTTTCTCAAAATTTTCTGATGGGAAATCCTGAAAAAAGTTACCATCAGTTAACCATGAGTAGTGTGGAATATTTCTAATAGCCAGATTTGATTGGCTGTTTTTTTTCCTGTGCTTATTTTTCAGGCAATTTTATATGAAACAGAAGTCTTAAATATCAAACACTTAGAAGCTAAGCTAAATTATTTAATATGCTTCCATTACAACAATGAAATAGTGTCCCCATATAGCCAGCATACTTTATTGTTATACTAACTAGCCTGCTTGTATTGAGAACATTGGTTTGTTTAAACAACAGGTAGAATATAAGTAAATCTGACTAATTTTCTCCTGATTTTTGTTGGTGGTTTTGAGCTTCATTCAGATACTGATGGACCATTTTGGACCATTTCTTTTTAATTGGGTGCCTTTAAAAAGAAGTTGAACTGACATCTTGGGAAACAGGAGCTTTTTATTCTCAGAACAGGTATTTCACAAGCAGCAGCTGTGCAAGGTTCATCATAATATGTAGCTAGTGTTCATTAGCCCTGACCTCGAGAAAATACCTTCAAAAATATTAAATCATTTCATTCTCAATGCTCATTCAGTCCCTGACCTCTTTGCTAAGAATAATAGAAAGGACAATTTAAGGGTGTGTTTTCTTAGATTGCTACCCACAGACTCAGCAGCTGGACCGAGACTGTCAACATATTCCATGTTGGCTTTTGAACCCCACTGCTTTGTTGTGGGGCTCCAACAACTGCTTCTAATGCCTGGAGTTATTCCAGGAGAAAAGGGAAAATTGAACATAAAAATTTAGCAAAGAGCATTAGTATCAGCCATATTTATTCAACTACTGTAGATCCATCTCAGACAAATTTGGATAGCAGCAAGACTGTATCAGACCTTCAGTCAGTATGGATTGCAAAACACATGTCACACAAATACATTTCAGGGGGAAGAGGAGCAATATGATTAAGATATAGGAGCCAAAAAACAGCCATTATTATTAGGTACCTAGGATCTGACAGCTGCCAGTGAAACTATAGAAAGACCCGATTGATTTTAACAGCCATAGGAGGTCACAAGATAGATACACTCTTTATTCACTGATTCATAGATGTTTGGGTCGAAAGGGACCTTAGAAGATCATCGAGTCCAACCCCCTGCTCCGGGCAGGAAAGAGCACTGGGGTCAGATGACCCCAGCCAGCTGCATGTCTAGCCTCCTCTTAAAGACCCCCAAGGTAGGGAAGAGCACCACCTCCTTTGGAAGCCCGACTACCTCCCTTGGAAGCTTTAGGAGCACTTGTCTTTATATGGACAGGTAACACATTTGAAAATGACTATTTGCTACGATGGGGATTCCTGCAGTTTCTAACATCTTATCTGAAGTATATTTTAAATGTAGCACATATGTGTAGCAAACACATTGGTAAAGATTATGTGTAGGATAAATGTGCTTGGGCTAAATTGGCACCCCAACCCGGTCTGTCAGGTGAGGAGGGTTTACAGAGACCCAGCAGGACTAAAAACAAAACCTGTCGAAGGGCAGGTGAGCTCACAAAAGAGCCGATGGCCATCCATACCTGGAGAAGACATTGGCACCACCAGGTTATTTTTGCCCAAAGAATTGCCGATGACACAAAAGCAGTCAACTAATCTCACGCCAAATCGGTTAAGGCCCAGGTTAACAACAACCATGTCTTTCATTGATGCTTGGCAGGATAAAAGCAGACTGGGACCACCAAACATCAAAGACTAGATGGGATTAAAACTGACTGATTGTATAAGGATTGCAAAAGACTGGGAAGAATGGAGGAAAGTTATTGCTACATCAGAGGTATCCCAAAGGTCAGTGAAGCTTTTGGACTGAGTAGCTGGCTGACTGAAATGTGCTGAACCAAAGATCTGGACAGGCCTGTTAAACAAGCACTAATCTCTAATTACTCTTGCCTCTTAATTATTCCTATACAACACAACAAAATTGTAAATGCGATGGAGGTACCTAATCCATCTCTGATGGCTGTCTCAAATGATTATGCATGACATCTAGGGTAATGAGCACAATGTAAATACACAGAAAGTGTGTGTTCTGAGTTATATATATATCCCAGCAAGGCTTATAATGTGGGCACATGCAAACCAAAAATAAAAATTTTCCACCACACATTTTCCACCACACACCATACAAGAGTTTAGAAACCTCCATACGTTTGCATTCACAGTGTTAGGACTGGTGCTTCCAATGTGGGCAATTGCTCTAATATCAATTGGTGTATCTCTAGTATTTGCTTTTGTGGTTTGGATATTTGTATGTCCATGGATGAAGAGGAAAATAGCAAGTAAGTAGCCAGTAGATTAAATGCTAATAGAGCGAGATCCTTGTGAATTGGAATATGTGCCATTTGGGGATTTATTCTGGAATGGGCTTCCAAGAGAGGTGGTGCTATCACCTAGCTTGGAGGTCTTCAACAGGAGGCTAGATAGTCACCTGGCTGGGGTCATCTGACCTTGGTCCTCTTTCCTGCCATGCAGGGGGTTGGACACGATGATCCATTATGGTCCCTTCTGACTCTACAATCTATGAATCTATGTTTCTCAAAATAAGCCCATTTTTTAAGCCAAGAGGGGACACTAGCCCTGAAGGAGGAGTATCCCCATGCCATGTTTCAAATGTCTGCTATATTTATTCCAGAGATATCAAAAATAAAAAATAAAAGAGTTTGAATTTTTAACTGGTGAAAATGTTGTTCCTATTTTACCTGAAAATATCCTGGACCTCGTTAAAAAACAAAAAGTCACATCCAAGCAGAGAAAAAAGATGGAAATTTTAAAGCAAAAACGTTAATATTTGGGAATGATGCATCTCAAAAGGGGAAATGTAATGGTGACTATTCAGCAATCTTAACTACATAAGGTATGCTGTAACGTTCTTTAAAATCCTGCCCAGGGTGCAAAGCTTATTTTCCTAAAACAATAGCGTATTCCATTTTCTTTGATTGGGCTCGAGTTTCCTGTTAGTTCCATATGTACAAACTTAAAGCAACTCTATTGCAATCAGTGGACTTATACTAATGTGAAATTAAGATAAGAGAAAGATGAAGGTAATCTTTTATTATTAATACAGACAGCTGGCTATACTGGGTATAAGCTTGGCACATAATATGGTTCCTGATATGCAAGTATTTTTTTAAGGATCTACATGCAACTTGAAGTAATTGATTCAGATAAGCAAATATCTGATCAGCAGGGATCCAGGTTTTCCATTTGCCATGGAAAAATGTAGTAAAATGCAGATTTTCTCATTTTAAGAAGAAAAACATAGATTTTCTCCTTGAAAGGAGAAAAACATGGGAAATGGTAGGTTTCCCCTTGCAGGCTGGCAGGGTCCTGCAGGGGTCAGGGATGCGAGTCGGCATGGACAGAGAACCAGCATATCAGGGCTGCTAAGCACCACAAAGCAGCAGGGGGGACAGCCACAGCTGGATCTGAGTCATAGTGAGCAAAGGGAGCAGGGGGAGCCCTGATTTTCCATAATAAGAAACTCAAAATCAAATGCCAACATTTATAGGTATTTAGAATTTATTTTTGATTGAGGCACTGGTAGGCTTCCAAAATGCTTTAAAATTGTAAATATATCAATAAAAATTGTGTTCAACTGATACCTATGTATACAGTGGTGTTTCATTTTAATCGCAGAAAAACACGGATTTGGGGGTTTTAATCAGAGAATTTGTAATTTGTATTTAAAGAGAGAAAACCAGGATCCCTGCTGATCAGCTTTGTCTGTTCCTACTGAAAGTCAGAAAAAAACAAGTTCTGACCAAAAAGCAGTCCTTTTGTAGAACCTGAAACAAGTAAGGGGCACAGGCATGTGAG